ATGGAAGAAGGCCGATTAGCGCTCATTTACCTACCATGGCTCGTTCATGGTGAACGCCGGTCATTTACGGTTGTTGTCCCCAACATCCAATGTTTGGCAAAATTCGCAACATGCTACTGCGAGTGCAGAGACATGAATTTCTCTCTCACCTTAGTGGTGCGGACGTATGGAATTCTCGGCAGACAAGTGATTTAGTGCAGGGCTCAGCTGAGAAAAAGCCTAACCTCTAGAGACGCACCGACATGAGGCCGTTGATCAGCCAGCGAGTCATAACGTGTTTCCGGCTGTCAGGTAACTTCGCACTGAGTGAAGATCATGGCCAACCGTAGGCGTTGGAACGATCGATGGTTATCTCTGTGTGTCTCCCTGGCTACGCGGCAAAGTCGGCTTAGGCGAGCGAAACTGCAGCGTGCATGTGCGCACGTGATGGCAGCTCAGCTGAGGACGAGGTTAGATATTGCAACTGTTGTCAATGTTATTGAATCACACGTAATGGAGCACGAGCAGACAATGCAGTCGGGATCACGTAACGTTCCTGTTACTCAGCGCGCGCTGATTATTCGGCTGTACGGTGAATGCGGTTTAAACGCCGCATCAGCTTCAAAAAACTACAACGCAATGAACGCAGGAATGCGTCCCATCACCGCCCGGTACGTGCTTAAACTAATGAAGAAGTTCGGGCAAACTGATAGTGTGTGTGTGACATGAAGAGAACCGGACCGCCTCGCATCACCACGGACGACCGTTCAGCTTGCGCTGTAGTCAGTGAAGTGTCAAAAAGTCCCGATCTCAGCATTCGTCGGATCGCACAGCACTGTGACACGACCCGACATGCGGTATACCGGATATTACTAGGACGAAAATTTCGGAGGTTTCGTGCACTTCAAGTGCAGGTTTTGAACCCATGCGATCCGGAGAAGCGGCATGAATTTTGCCGCTGGTTTCTGGATCACGGGGATATTCGTTCTGTTATCGCTACAGATGAGGCATTGTTTCATCTGCATGGAACAAGGAAACTACTGTTGGGCTACCAGCAACCCACGAAAATTTACCGCATCACGTATGAACCACAGTGTGAAACTGATGGTTTGGGCCAGGTTAACAAGCCAGAAAATCTTGGGCCCATATCTCTTTTCCGGGAATGTGACCGGTAGGTTGTTGATTTGAAGTACTAAAGCCTTATCTTTTCCTAGCATCGTCGTATTTGGAAATGCTGCAGACATTTGTGCTTCCCCAGTTGGAGGCCGAAGGGGCATTCATACTATTTGGTGCACATGCACATTCTGCTAAAACGGTGCGCGCTTACCTCACCGACAAATTTGGTCACCATCGGATCGGACGCGGTGGACCAATGGATTGGCCTGCTCGCTCACCAGATTTGAATCCCATGGACTTTTTTCTATGGGACTATCTGAAGCGGCGAGTGTACAAAATAAGGCCGAATACATTGGATCAATTGAAAGAAAATATTGTGAACGAATGTCGCGCGATCACGTGGGATACATTGGAGAAAGTGCTCGCCAATTGCATCAAGCCGTTTGTGCACTGTAAGCAGAATGCTGGCGGACATTTTGAACAGATCCTTCACTGGCATAGATGATCGTTCCAATACATTTCTGTTAATATACTTATCCTCTTTCACAAATGTGTTAACGACTAAACTGGGCCGCTGGCAAGTAGTGCTAATGATGCGTCCGGTCGGATAGAATTCTTAACGTCCAGACTGTCGTTGAGCACATAAACAGCGTAGGCACCGAAACGTTCAATGGCTACTTATGGCGAAATCACTGAGTCGCTATGTGCTGAGGTTCGTCCAGCCTTAATGAAAAGCCGACTGTGTTGTTGACTCAGTTTCAAGCTATTGCCTGTAAAGTTGGTGTTCGGGATGAGTTGCAGTAGATGGCAATAAGTGTACGTTCAGTATCTGGTGGTAGACTAATATGAGGTCTTCACGTAGGCGCCTGTAGTGTCTACTGAACACTCGGAGTGTATTTCGTCGCTGCTCGACCATGGTGAGTTTCAAGCGATGCAAGGTCACGGTATAGCCAAGCGTGCCAAGTCTGGATTACATATTCGACGTGTTAACGCACGTAGGCATGGAGCATGATGGAGAAGATGAATGAATCTAAACTTTCGAATGCCATCCTCAAGCTAACAACGTGCTGGTTACCACTTTTGGATTCCGACTGTGTGGAATAACCGAAGTCGTCCTGCACCAGCACGCCGAGGTCAAGTTCTTGAGGGCTTGTCTGCAGGTCACCTGCCCCAATATTCTAGAGATAGGTGTGTCTATGGCAGATGTGGATAATGTGTCACTTGACCACATTTAATGGCAGTGAATTTCTCACCGATCAATGCCAGGTCCTATCTAGGTCGCACATGGAGGATCTTGTGGTCGGCCACTCTCTTGATGTCCGGCCAACGTTTAACGTCATCCGGAACAGTAAAATTTTTGAGGTGATGGCTCTCGTAAGATTGTCGCACTCCACTGGATTAGAGTCGGGCAGAGATATTTGGTCTCTAACATAGAACTGCTGTTCACGGAGAAAATTGCCAACCCATGCTGATAATGCATTGCCTAGGTTTTCCAAGTAGCCCATCAGCGATGATTGCTTCCATGGTTTTGGAAAGCGCAGAGATAAGTGTTACCGGACGGTAACTGGTATGACCAGACGGACTACTCTGAAAGAATACGGCAAGTGGATGGGCGAGTATTGTTTATGTGAAGGCGGCATGTGTTCCCCCAACGCTATTACTTCATATTTGGCTTCTCATGAATAATGTTGGTTCCATGTGATGGTGGAAAATTTTTGCGCAGATGCTTCGGTGACTAGTGATGTGGTTTTCCATCATTTATCCTAGACTACCTCTAGGGTGCACTCAGTCATGTATGTGCAACTGTTATGCTAAAATCACACAATGAATGGCTAGAATCACAGAATTGAAGGTTTGATTTCATTCGCTACGACGAATACACCGATACAGAGCCCGAAAAACAGCAATACATTCCTCAGTATGAGGTTCTGTCCGCATTCGGAGCAAACATTTTCTACCATCACATGATACCAACATCATTCATGAGAAGCCAGATATGAAGTAATAGCGTTGGGGGAACACATGCCGCCTTCACATAAACAATACTCGCCCATCCACTTGCCGTATTCTTTCAGAGTAGTCCGTCTGGTCATACCAGTTACCGTCCGGTAACACTTATCTCTGCGCTTTCCAAAACCATGGAAGCAATCATCGCTGATGGGCTACTTGGAAAACCTAGGCAATGCATTATCAGCATGGGTTGGCAATTTTCTCCGTGAACAGCAGTTCTATGTTAGAGACCAAATATCTCTGCCCGACTCTAATCCAGTGGAGTGCGACAATCTTACGAGAGCCATCACCTCAAAAATTTTACTGTTCCGGATGACGTTAAACGTTGGCCGGACATCAAGAGAGTGGCCGACCACAAGATCCTCCATGTGCGACCTAGATAGGACCTGGCATTGATCGGTGAGAAATTCACTGCCATTAAATGTGGTCAAGTGACACATTATCCACATCTGCCATAGACACACCTATCTCTAGAATATTGGGGCAGGTGACCTGCAGACAAGCCCTCAAGAACTTGACCTCGGCGTGCTGGTGCAGGACGACTTCGGTTATTCCACACAGTCGGAATCCAAAAGTGGTAACCAGCACGTTGTTAGCTTGAGGATGGCATTCGAAAGTTTAGATTCATTCATCTTCTCCATCATGCTCCATGCCTACGTGCGTTAACACGTCGAATATGTAATCCAGACTTGGCACGCTTGGCTATACCGTGACCTTGCATCGCTTGAAACTCACCATGGTCGAGCAGCGACGAAATACACTCCGAGTGTTCAGTAGACACTACAGGCGCCTACGTGAAGACCTCATATTAGTCTACCACCAGATACTGAACGTACACTTATTGCCATCTACTGCAACTCATCCCGAACACCAACTTTACAGGCAATAGCTTGAAACTGAGTCAACAACACAGTCGGCTTTTCATTAAGGCTGGACGAACCTCAGCACATAGCGACTCAGTGATTTCGCCATAAGTAGCCATTGAACGTTTCGGTGCCTACGCTGTTTATGTGCTCAACGACAGTCTGGACGTTAAGAATTCTATCCGACCGGACGCATCATTAGCACTACTTGCCAGCGGCCCAGTTTAGTCGTTAACACATTTGTGAAAGAGGATAAGTATATTAACAGAAATGTATTGGAACGATCATCTATGCCAGTGAAGGATCTGTTCAAAATGTCCGCCAGCATTCTGCTTACAGTGCACAAACGGCTTGATGCAATTGGCGAGCACTTTCTCCAATGTATCCCACGTGATCGCGCGACATTCGTTCACAATATTTTCTTTCAATTGATCCAATGTATTCGGCCTTATTTTGTACACTCGCCGCTTCAGATAGTCCCATAGAAAAAAGTCCATGGGATTCAAATCTGGTGAGCGAGCAGGCCAATCCATTGGTCCACCGCGTCCGATCCGATGGTGACCAAATTTGTCGGTGAGGTAAGCGCGCACCGTTTTAGCAGAATGTGCATGTGCACCAAATAGTATGAATGCCCCTTCGGCCTCCAACTGGGGAAGCACAAATGTCTGCAGCATTTCCAAATACGACGATGCTAGGAAAAGATAAGGCTTTAGTACTTCAAATCAACAACCTACCGGTCACATTCCCGGAAAAGAGATATGGGCCCAAGATTTTCTGGCTTGTTAACCTGGCCCAAACCATCAGTTTCACACTGTGGTTCATACGTGATGCGGTAAATTTTCGTGGGTTGCTGGTAGCCCAACAGTAGTTTCCTTGTTCCATGCAGATGAAACAATGCCTCATCTGTAGCGATAACAGAACGAATATCCCCGTGATCCAGAAACCAGCGGCAAAATTCATGCCGCTTCTCCGGATCGCATGGGTTCAAAACCTGCACTTGAAGTGCACGAAACCTCCGAAATTTTCGTCCTAGTAATATCCGGTATACCGCATGTCGGGTCGTGTCACAGTGCTGTGCGATCCGACGAATGCTGAGATCGGGACTTTTTGACACTTCACTGACTACAGCGCAAGCTGAACGGTCGTCCGTGGTGATGCGAGGCGGTCCGGTTCTCTTCATGTCACACACACACTATCAGTTTGCCCGAACTTCTTCATTAGTTTAAGCACGTACCGGGCGGTGATGGGACGCATTCCTGCGTTCATTGCGTTGTAGTTTTTTGAAGCTGATGCGGCGTTTAAACCGCATTCACCGTACAGCCGAATAATCAGCGCGCGCTGAGTAACAGGAACGTTACGTGATCCCGACTGCATTGTCTGCTCGTGCTCCATTACGTGTGATTCAATAACATTGACAACAGTTGCAATATCTAACCTCGTCCTCAGCTGAGCTGCCATCACGTGCGCACATGCACGCTGCAGTTTCGCTCGCCTAAGCCGACTTTGCCGCGTAGCCAGGGAGACACACAGAGATAACCATCGATCGTTCCAACGCCTACGGTTGGCCATGATCTTCACTCAGTGCGAAGTTACCTGACAGCCGGAAACACGTTATGACTCGCTGGCTGATCAACGGCCTCATGTCGGTGCGTCTCTAGAGGTTAGGCTTTTTCTCAGCTGAGCCCTGCACTAAATCACTTGTCTGCCGAGAATTCCATACGTCCGCACCACTAAGGTGAGAGAGAAATTCATGTCTCTGCACTCGCAGTAGCATGTTGCGAATTTTGCCAAACATTGGATGTTGGGGACAACAACCGTAAATGACCGGCGTTCACCATGAACGAGCCATGGTAGGTAAATGAGCGCTAATCGGTCTTCTCCCATCCGACTAATTCTATTTAAACATGCGATCGCTTTCCCCCACTCTAGGGGAATTTGGATTTACATCGGAAATTCTCCTAACGCACAATCGCCAGTCCCTCTGGTGCTACCCAAATCGTCGATAATTTTTTACCTGTCTGTATGTGTTCACCATCTGCGAAACACTGACCCACAATAACGATTCTCACTTTGTGGCCAACCACACTTTGGCAGTGATGCGTTCCCTCTCCTTCACTTTGCGTGTACATGTATGTACGTTTGTTTATCGTGTTCCTGTGCTATTTCTCCAGCCTCAGTGTTCACTGAGTGATCGTGACCGTGATGTGCACCAAACATTCCTGCTTACCCATGAGATCAATTCTCGCAACGTGGATTGGTTTATGCTATCTCCAATCAGGAACGAGTATGTATCCGGTTATCCAACAACAGTTGCACATGTTTCACCTGCACTATTGTCAGCTCGAGGCGTGACGATCCCTTGTCATTTATCCGTTTGGGTGCTACCTCAGCACTAGTTTTGTGGACCTCAGAACCTGAACATTTGAGGTTTGTTCGCATATTTAATTAATACGTTGTAAATAGCACCGTAGACCTTGGCTCCATTCCTTGTTCTTGATCAATTATGGATCGTTTTCTACACGTTATCTCAACGACATCGTTTGGTCTTGCACCCACTACCTGCCCACTGTCCAAAACGACTACGAGCTCTACGGGCACGAGATGCTACGTACCTTGTCAGGTCGAAAAATGTGGGATTCTGTCCATCATGCATCAGACGATCGACAACTTCCGTCCACTTAGACTGCATGGATCTCGGCAGTGCTCGCACTATTTCCTCGAGTGTGCTTAAGGTATTCATGTCAGCTGTGTAGTTCATTTCTGTTAGGGCGATGGGACAGTTTTCCATCAATTGTCAATTCGATAAGCGCCTCGGCATTATTAGGAACTGTTTTCGCTCCGTTCAGTATGCCCACTAACGATGAGCGTGCAATGGCTTGAGGTTGATCAAATAAACCACTCAAAATCTTTCGGGCCGTTGCGTAGCCCTCCTTCGAACGCATCCTTACACATTCACTTCCTCGACAGTAATGTTTTAGATATAGAAGACGCCTCCCTGGGTCTTCCAGCTTATTTTCGACATAGAAACACTGCTTTATGAATTTCTAGTAACCTGCTGAACGCCCCTCAGACTGCGTTAGCTGGACACTGGGGAGCTTTCCTTCTAAAAGGAGCGATCTTAGAGCAGATGCCACTATTGCAGTCACAATAACCCGGCTCAATATGTCTCTGCCGCTGGGTTCGTCTTAGCAGCATCTACGCTGTCGTTAATATAAATATCAATCTGTGACAGCTTATCGTACGACAAGTCAGGAGACGATAATCTATCGTTGAGTTCATCTTCTAAAGCCACCTCAAGCCTAGCCATCTCCATTGCCTGGCTTGCCGTGAACAATTCGCTGTGTTGCCTAACCTCGAGCTGTTTAATGTCCAACTCGTTCTTACTCTGCTTCTGTCTTAATTCAACAAAACTCTGAGCGCGCATTACAACTAGCGGCCTTAGTGCTAACATGAGAGCCAGAGTGACTTGCCTCGATTGTTCCATCTTGTCCGCGGACTTTGTCGTTCGGGTAATTGGCATTGCGTAAGGTTGCACGAATTCAGCAACGTTGGATTCATTGTTAGTGATTGCGTACATTCAAATTGGGTACTCCCATATTGAGCACTGTCAAAGTTGAGCACCTCCAAATTCCAGTATTGCCAAAACCATCACCTCCAAGAATTGAGTACTGTAACGTCCACCGACTGAACTGTAAGTGACACGTAGCCAGTGATCCTGAAGTCAAAACAAAATTGGATCGCAACAACTACTATTGAAACACATACGTTCACATAAATATGATGAACCTCAGTTGTTCTGGGTCCCGGTATCTGCGTCACCGACAATTGTAATTACACAGCTGGGCAGAAAACCGATGTCTCAACGCGGACAATCAAGGTACGTAAAACCACACGAAGTTGTGCTAACAGCCGCTGGTCAATATTAAACGGCCCAATCACAGTGAGGTAAAGGTGAACAATGAAATTAACACACCTACACAGCGATAACAGACCAGATGCAGCCGACAATGTTACAATCTACACAGATCAAAGATCAACTATGGCTAAATTTCTAACGAATGCATGCGTAAACAAATGATGAACCACGGCACAAGCATGTGAGCGTATGTAGAGACTAACATTGTAAGCACACGCGGTGGGGAGGAGGGAATAACCGGGTTATCTAAGGACACGGACAGCGTGCTAGTGATCCTCGCAGTGAGGAAGGAAGGTCATAAAGCGGAACGAAAGGTAGGGTGTACGTGATGACCAAGGTCATCTCAGAGGAATTTTCTAATCAACGCCAATCTCCGCTGCAGTGCCGGTTAACTAACAGTGTACGCTCACAAGCCATCCTTTAATAGCGCGGCGAGAGCTTAAGTTTGATTGTGTACTAGTACTAAAGCCGGTCAAATGTTCAGAAGCAGTTTTCATAAACAACAGCGATAACGATCAATGAATGGTAAACTCTCGAACTGACGAAAGCAATTATCAACGCATCGACCGGATAGAAAGCCTGCTATAGTTAGAGGCCCGTATAACTAGACACTTCGCGCTTCTTTTGCATCGTGTACTTTAGGAGACCACCTACAGAATCTTGAAGCCGAGTGGCGCATCAACGCCACAGCTGTACGGGTTTCCAATTACTCACAAGGAAGGCATGCTGTATAGACCTATTTTGTCGATGGTACAATCCCTGCAGCACAAATGGGCTCGCTGGTTAGTTAGGATCCTTGCGTCATTGGCTGCACTTCATTCTGCACGACATTAAAGACTTGAAATTATTGAATACCTGGACCAAATCTGCCTAGCCGGCAAGGTTATGTGCTCAGTAGACGTGCGGTCGCTATTTACTAATGTCCCTTTGCTCTAGACGGTTGCTTACATTTGTCACCTGATAAGAGTGCTTCCGTCTGCCAGTATCAGTAGACCTTGTGAGACAGTCTCTGTGACTTTGCACGGTGAATGTCTCTTTCCGACTCCAGCACACATATCGTCAAACCGATTAAGCGGCTACGAGTAGTCCGTTGGACCCGGTACTGGCTGATTTTTTCATGCTGATACTTGCAAAGAAACTAAGTGGAGAGGCTTCTCAGTCGCCGTGTTACACACTATATTTAGATGACATCCTTGTTTTCGGTTATACGAGGATGCAAATCGAACGATTAGTAGATCAGCTTACTAGTGCTCACGCCAACCTGAGTGTGACTTTTGAATTCCTATCGAATGGACGTCTTCCATGTCTTCGCATTCTCACGAGTCGCAGGTATAATGGTCACATTAAGTCAAGTCAAACAATGCGCATTATGCACCCTTGAAGAGTGAATATTCCGCTACAACACACGCTGACACAAATAAGATCAAATGAAAATATGACACATGTATATAATGCGTCACCAAGTTAAAAATGTGACAATGGTGACGTCTTCGATTCTGTCTGGCAATATGATCACGTTTGACTGCATCTTGGTCCCTCAGAAAACGGGCCAAATATGGAACAACTGACGTACTGTAAGCCCGCTTGCGGGCATAAATGTTTTTGTACGTTTGACTGCTCGAAGACGTCGAGGTACATTCGAACAATGGAGAGTGTGACTGACATCACTGAACATTGTTAACGGCTGTTTTCCGCTGCATCGAACGTGATTGGACACAATTATGTCAATAAACATCAACATGGAAATTTCGCTGTTGCTCACTTTGAATTGCCCGTTTAAGAGTCCGGGAAATGTCACAGGTGAGGAATGCCTCCAGGGCGGTATTATACAAGCGGAGACAAACCGTATAATCAAGTAACGAGGCACGGACGAAGACCTAAGTCGGGAGACGTAGAGTGTGTCTCTTGTCTTTAGCGAATGTTTCATTTACGTGACGTGACCACGTGAGATTCCGCCTTAGAGTAATCCAGATATTTTACTGTACAAGTTTAGACTTACACTGCCAATACTAAGATGCGGGTTGTGCGTCAGGGGGCTGTTGCTAACACTTTTCCTTGGCTAACGAGAAAATAACCTCTACACTTTGATACGTTGAGTGTAAGACATCGGGATTGGGACCAGGAGATGAGGTTGTCCAAGAAGCATTGCAAGTTGGTCGATGAATCTAATGTGATTGTGTACATCAAGGATCATGTCTTCAGCATACTTTAGAAGTATGGCTTCCTTTGGAGCGGGAATGGAGTTAATGGAGGTGGAAAATAGGAATAGGGACACAATAGATCCTTGAAGAACACCTGAATTTGTGGTGAATGAGAAGGAGCTTCCCTCCCCCCCCCTCCATTTTGATAAGCTGCGTACGATTGACACAATTTTCTGAATGAATAGATACTCATGAAGGTTGATCTGGGGAAACTAGCAGGTCGTATAACAGCAGCTTGCGGTTTACACACCTGAAAGCTTTCCTGTAGTCTAAGAAGCAGATCCCCGTGGGTTTGTTTTTACTGTCGAGGGATGAAAGCATTGAGTGTACATGACAAGCTACTGTATCCAAAATAGACCCTGAACTGCGATAGGCGAACTGAAAAAGATCCTTTGAGTGGGTTTCGACAAGCATTCTATCAAGTATGGTTCGTTTAAATGTCTTCAAAGCCACAGGCGTGCAAGCAATG